AGGAATGCAACCTTGTTAAGCCGGGGGGAAAAATAGTGTTGGAGCAACAGAAAAACTGAATCACTGGGAAACAGTGAAAAGAAAGAGCATGTGAGCAGACTGCATTACAAAAAAAAAATGAAAAAAATTATAAAAAAATTAGGAAAATAAATCCAGGCAGGCCCATGGCCAAGGAGGCAGAACACATCACTCTCCTCGCGCTGTAGCCCCAGGATGCTGACAGACTCCCTGTGACCCTTCCCCTCCCCGTTCTGCTCGAGGAAGACAGAAACCACCAATCTTAGGATTCAGATGGCTATTGGAAGGAGAGCATAACACCAGAGAAAAGATATTAGGTAGGTTTTGCATAACAATTTTTACCATACTAAAAATGAGATTTTTTGTATTAATTTGGACTACGAATTTCAGTATTACTGTAACTGGACTAATCGTAGTTTCTTGCTGCATCTTTGATTATATTGTTAAAACATGAACTGGATTAACAATAGCTTCTTAGCTCTGTATGCAAGGTGCGTTCCCTTTTTCCCATAGCAAGATTTTGAGTGTCACAGAGGCACTGAACCGATTTTTCTGAGACTTTTTTGCCTTATGAATTCATCTGAGGTCTGGAGACTGATTTGACTCAGCTACTGATGAAGCTCCATTTGCAAGGACTCGGACAGAGAACACTTCGTTTTAGACAGCGAGATTTTGCAAGGAGAAATTAGTATCATTCAAGAGAGCACAGCTAGCTAGAACAATAGCTATTCTCTATAAAAGGACAGCCAGGATGAGGTAGGAATGCATGCTCGAACATAGGTTTTCTTAAGAGTACTCTCCTGGGCTTTCTGGGTCATCCCTTGAAGGACTTGTGTATAAGCACATCTTTTTCTGACAGATCTTTCCTATAGCTACCAGGAAACAGCTGCGGGGTTTGCTCATGGGCATAACTTTCTCATAAGATAAGTAAAAGTTGACAGATGGAGACTTTTGCTTTGTGAAGACCAAACGCAATATAAATCTTGAAAAGAAAAAAATGGATCTTTTTTTCTCTGAAGTGACAAGCAGTAAATAAAACTGAAAAAAATATTCATAAATTAAACATCTGTTGAGACAATATTTAGCTACTCAAAAGAGGCTTCAATTTTCAGATATGAGCAATGAGAAGGTAACAGGGTGGGTCTGCTCATTATAGCCTTTAGACCACATGACGAGAGAGAGTGCATATCTACATGTGCTGGTGGGTTACAGAACTCCCCAATACTCAGAGCACCAATACACTGTTCTGCATAACGCAAACACAGCCACTTAATGGATTTTTTTAAATTACTGATTTAGACAAAATTAACCATGTCAAATCCTACCTATCTTAAAATAGAAACACTTGTTTAAACAAGTGAGATTACATTTAAAATGTGTTAGAAGTATTTTTCTAGTTGAGTAAGGCCCACCAAACACAGGACTATGCAGAAACTTGTAGAAATTCTTCAGCTTCATCAGCCGCAGGCTTAGGGGGGAAAAAAGGAATAGTACTTAAAAACTGCTTTCCAAGAGTCCCTTTCCAAACTCCATGCCCTAGTCCTGGTATTGTAATAACTCTATCTGTTTCATGAACATCACCTAAGTAGTCCTTAATTGATTTATAACAACTAAAAACATTTTCTACTTCTTGGTGCCTAGTCACATTTTTTGTTTACCCCAGAAAAATGCATGTATATTAACTGATTAGAAATACATATATTTTGTCATTCATCACTGAACATTTTATTTCCCCAAAGTGCTGTCGTAGGAGACGCAACAATAACCAGCGAGTCAAAAAACATTCCAGATAGATTGATAATTTGAAAGTGTCTAAACCAATGGGTAAAGCCAGACTTGAGTTTGCTCCTTTCATCTACCCATGAGCCAACTCTACTAACACAGCTGAGTTAGTATGGCACTCTGCCCAAAAAATGTACCCTACTACTTTGAGAAAAATAAATGGGACAGGTATTCTCTGCAAATAACTGAAAAAAGGAACAAGAATGCACATATTGGGATCAGCCCTCTATTAAGATGTAAAACATGTTTTCTAGAGGATGAAACAATCAGAAAACGTCAAAATGATAAAATTTTTTCTCATGCAGCTGCCCTTTAAAGTGATAAATTAGATGAAATTTTCCTGCAGAAATGACATTAGAGACAGTCTGCCATGGCGTATTTTGTAGAGGCTATGAAATCAGAACAAAGCTACCCTAATCTAGAAATAGCACTATTATTATTTCTTTCTAGTTTCTCAGAATATTAATGTTTTACTACTGAATACTATCAAGCAGGATCTCTAAGGAGGCCCAGGACAGCAGTTTCTGAAATGTAACGTGTAAGTCACTCTGCCCAAAAAACACTAGCACAACTGGTTGTGACTATATGCTCAATTTTCTTTCAGCTAGATAATCTTCTCTCTCCTTTGTCTTCCTTTTCCCTACTCCTCCCCCTCCATTAATTTCTCTTTCCCAGCTCTCTTGCGGCCTGCCGCTGAGCATCACAGTTCAAAATAACACAGGGCTCTAGTTTTAATTTTATTTCTATAAATAATATAGAACAGATATTACCTGATTTTTGAAAGGGTTAGATTATAAATTTGAATATACTGTATAATTTCATCTAAAAGGCGATCTGTCATGGAATCAAAATCAGCAAAGGTATCATTCTGTAAAATAAAAGAAATAAAAAATAATAACTGTATTTTCTAATGCAGCAATATACATTCTGCATTCAGTCTGAGTTCTTATTCCCCAGAGTTTTAATCAACAGTACACAAATAAAAGTATCCATATTAACTTCAAACAGAGACACTGCAGCTGGTTATGCTCATATTTTCAGTTTTTTTCTTGTAACATAGAATAAAGTGATATACATTTTATTTTAAGACTACTTTGTTCCAACATCCCAAAATAAATCTCAACATAACGAACTGCCAGCCTTACTCTAAGCCTCCCCATACACATGGTCTTTATCTGTGGAAAAACAGAAGACCAAACTGCATACACAAAACTAAATCACACTGCCCATGAAATAAAAGTATGAGAAAATTGCTATAACAGTAGAGAGTCTACATTAGCACTGTTTAATTCAAAACAATCCCCCCCCCAAAACATTACTGCCAATTCATAGCTGCTTCTCCATAACGATTAACAGCAAGAAATGAAAAAGGGGTAAGGCAAAGAATGCCTAAAACTTTTCAACATAAATTCCAAAGGATCTCTGCTAACATCTGTAATAGTCAACATATTCATAAATGATCTGGAAAAGGGAAGAAGCAGAATAACAAGATCCCAGAGTTGGTACACAGCACCACATTATCCTGGAGAGTCAAATCTAGAACTGACTAGAATTTCAGAAGCATCTTATAGTACTGCACAACTGGGTGATAAAACGGCAAGGCTTAGAAATGCAATACAATGTTACATGGGAAAAACAGCCCTAAACACATATGCGCATACTAATCAATATACCTGTGTTTTATAATCAGCTACATTAGGAAATCACGGGAAGAACAGAAAATACCAGTATAGTATTTAGTAAGCCATAAGTAATTATTAAGTTATAGTAAGTGCAAAAGCATCTTAAAGGTCCGATCAAGTTCTGATCATCCCATCTTAAAAGAGAGAAAGTTTGAAAATGGGCAGAAAAGGATATCATGGACGGCCAAAAACTGTTCCACATCTCTTCCACCTGAGAAGAGACTCAACAGACTCGGTTTCTTCTATTCCCTCCTCAGGAGGGAGAAGCTATACATGTTTACAAAATGCTTAATTGAATTGAAATAGAAAATGGGGAAATATTATTGACTTTTTTTGTTTTCAAAGCAAGCTGCAGGGGGATCAGTTTTAATCTCTTTGTAACAGAATTATTAATACATATGAACTGTGGAATTCATCTCAACCGTGGAAACCAGAAGTAAAAATGCATCAAGAAAAAAAAAAAGCCAGCATCAAGGAGAAAAGTCCATGAGTAGCTATTAGACTCAGTGGTCTCAGTGGGAGTGCCAGCTCGGGAAGTTTCAGAGCTGCTGACCGCCAAAAACTGAGGTGACTACACAAGAGCAAGCATGGCTCGGCACCTGCTCAGCCTGATCTCAAGCCATCCCAGCAGCTATCGCCAGAAATATGCCACTGCGCTAAATGAATCTTTCATTGGACCCATTAAAGATGCTCCCTGTTCTAATGCTTCCCCTAAGTACATCTAATAAAGTATGTGACACAGGAAAGAAAAATACATAAAAATAGGTCTTCTGTGCTTTTTCAAGTTTACCTTGTCTGAAAACAATAAAGTTCACAAAAGTTTACGACAGCGATAATTTGATATTGATCCAGTGTCATGACGTGGATCTTCCAGTACAGTAACAAAAGAAAAGAGCAAGAGTAATATTTTGTATTTCTCACATCCTGCAGAATATACATCTCCTTTCTTCCCACACCAATTTCTACCGTTAGCAGCTGACAGGGAGGGAAAAAATACTAAAATCAAGGGTGTTTTATCTATAATCCTAACTAGTTACGCTGAGAACTTAGAAGTTTTCAGTATATACAACAAAACAGCACCAACAAATGCTAGTCATTATGTCTATCTACCTCCAGTATCGTATTAGGTGTTGTAATTACTTTAATACAAACCACAAACGAAATCACAGATTCTGTGAGGGGACTTATTTACATAAAATACATTAAAACCATCATTTCTTGCTAAATGCAATAAAAATGTACAGAAAGTGATAAACTGCAATGCAATAGTGCCATTAAATATGTCTGAAAACGTAGACTGTTTATTGCTTTACAAAAATTCTTTTGTTGTTGGCAAATACCTGATTCCTCTCGGACATAAGAAAATCTATTCTCCCTCCAGGCAGCCCTAGCTCAATGTAAGTCTTCACTAATCTGAGATCTGCGCTGTTACCTTAAAGGGAAAACAATCAAGGGTTATATAGTGCAAAGTTAACTGGCAATAAAAAGTAAACAGAATACTGAAATAACCCTACAGCACAGCTTTATATTTAAACACAGCTAATGATATTCTCACCCCTAATTAAAATTCAATGAGACTTGGGAAGATAAACTGCCAGGCCAAATACAATGCCAAAAAAGTCTGTAAAATGACATTCAACTCAGTCACCATTTAAAAAAGTAACAATTTAGAAAGTCATGTTTGATGATTTTGTCTTAGCACCCAATAGATACATAGCTCTGTGAACATTAAATACTTGAAAACCTCATTAGCTTTTATCAAAGTCAATTAATGTACTCTGAGCTAAGTTAAAGAATTTAGTGAAGACGCAAGAAATAAGGACACACCAGAAAGCTTTTCATAAGAGTAAAAGTCAAAGGGGACTGTCAGCAGATAACAATACGTTAAGAGTGATACACAAAACAACTAAAGCTAGTTTAACCAACCTCCTGAAGATTCCCCTACATATCAGTGATCATTAATACCTTTGGAATTCGTCAAAAAAGAATAAGGCCCTTTTCCTCCATCATTCCACGTTCACCATCTAAACCATTGAACGATTATCAAGAAAGGGTACCCTTACTGCCTTACTTAGAGAACTAGGTTCTTATTTAAATCAGCTATTAAGAACCGATTTAAATAATTAGTTGAATTCTCCATTTCGTAAAAAAAAATCTGACTTTACGGACTGTTTGAAGGCTTCAAAGACTTGCTTTTAAACAACAGTTTTTATGGTTAACTTTTGTATCGACTCTTGGCACACAATAGCACTTGAACATCTATGCTAGTAAGAAGGAACATTTCTGAGTTCAATGTTAAAAGCACTTAACAGTGGCTGCTTTCTGGCCAGAGGCAAAAAAAAAAAAAAAGCGATATTTTGAATTTTGCTTTTGAATTAGGAATTTGAAAGACGAACAAGAAAGTCCTGCAAAGTCAGTCCAGTTCAATATTCTGTGTATTGCCCTGCCGTATCCCTTACGTTGTTCATTTAAGAAACTTCACAAAAAGAAATAAAAAGGTTGATAGTAGAAAGCTATGAAAAAACTCAACCAGCGGGGCCACCGCTTCTTAGCGTACACATATGCTTTAAACTAGAAGCTGGTGAATATATTTAAGCTGTTTAAATTTTCCCATCTTGTTTCATTTAGCAAGGGATTTTCTCATTTCTGGTACAGTAGTCTCTCCATCCTTGGGGATATTAAAACTCAACTGGACACGGTCCTGGGCAGCCTGCTCTAGGTGACCCTGCTATGATCAGGGGCGTTGGACTAGATGACTGCCAGAGTCCATTCCAACCTCAACCAGGCCGTGACTCTATGGCACAGTGAGCCAACATTTTAAAACCTAATACTAGACTGCAGTAACGTCTTATTTTACATGTAGACTTTTCCTTACAATAAGATACACACATTTTATTTTCCTTGACAACGTAACATTACAAATACTACGTGAAACTGTATTGTTATTAACTCTGGTCTGTAACCAGGGTACGGGCAAATATCTGTACGTCATTAAAAACTGGAGAATGTATCTAATTTGAACTGTAACATAAACTGAGCTTGTGTACAGGGAAGTTTTACTCAAGAGAAATGTTACATAAAATTCTTAGTTTAATTTAAATGATTTCATGAAATAATTTGTTAAAGGCAGCCTTACAAAGTCAGGTTCCCGTTTTCTTCTAGTGAACTTATTTCAGCAAGGTTTAGTTCAGAGTTCACATGACATAAGCTAAACTTGACTGGTAATCTGAACTGATATCTTGTTCAGTATCAGCTTTCCGTGCATACCATCTAGGCCATGGACGCAGACTATAAGATGTATTCCATCTTCTGGACAGTCATCCTCTTCCATACTAAAATAAGGTATTGAAGAAGCCAGTTTGAAAACATCACTATACATAAATCCAGGAAGTTTAAGTTGCTTCAATTCTTCTTTAGCCTGGAGGAAACTGCAACAGAACAACATTTATGATATAACATTTACTATACTATTGGCAGACAAATGTAGGGTCTCCTAAGGTAGAGTTTTCTACTGTCTTTTTACTTTTGCATTCTATGTAACTGGTATGAAGAAAAAAAAATATTTGTCAAATTACTATCTTCACAAAATAACTCAATTCCTCAAAATATTTTTTCATTTCAGCTTCCTAAAAAACTTTTTCTCCTATAACAAGATCCATACCCCAAGCTCCACTCTCTTCTCCTTTGAACACCTCTGCAAGCTGTGACGTATTTCTGAAGCCACCAAATATTTTGATTTAGTTCTGGTCTTGAGCAGTAACAGCTTTGTTTAAATGCAACGCTAACAAAATTACATGAATTATAATGTGATTTGAAGTCAAGGTGAAGATTTCCATTGACTTTTAATAACTCCTGCTAAATGTGAAACTTATTTCCTAGGTCAGCAAGGAGCTGGAGACAATGCTGTAATTGCTCACCAGAAAGACCTTCTGACAGACTGAACAACTGATATTTCCTCCAAAAGACACCAGATCCAGACCTCTGATCTTTTACATATCATGTGAGGTCTTAGGCTCTACAGTTTCAAATAGCTCAGCTTCCCACATGCTAGGAGTTCCTTGCATTCCTCCCTTTCTTCCCCTCCCCATAGTTTCTTTGTGTATGACCTTCCTACGTAGTTAATTATATTTCAGAGTTTCTTTGCAACAATTCACACAGTTTTGTTTCATGCCAAAAGTTTTACGCTTCCTTAAATCCTTTCCCTCCTTATTTCATCTGTTCTGCATGATCCGCTACAGCGTTACTCCGTATCCCGTCCTCCTCAGCCTCCCCACTCTCGTCTTCCTCCCATTCCACTCATCTTTCTGTTTTCCCAGCTTTTTCTTCAGTTCGTTCCTCACTAACTGGCAAGAGCCAATTAGTTAGCCTCATTAAGTCAGCTTAAACAGGTCTCATTACTGTCTGTTGGTCTCACCACTCTGCAGCAGAGGTTACTAGTTTTGATTTTACTCCCACCAGGTTCCCCTTCTTTTATTGTTTAAAAAACACCCTAAATATCCTCTGCTTTTCACCTCTCCTGTTCCGTGCCACTATCCACTCTCCGCTTTCCATTTTCAATTATTTCAGAAGCTGTGTTTCTGTCCTCTCACTTCTATTCTTGTTTTCTTCCATTGTCGCTAGATCCTTATTCCTGTTCTCAGCTGCTTCCCATCTTCCTGTCTCTTCCGTCTGCTTCATATTCTCTCTGCTAAGTTTTCTTCTTTCTGAGAGCAACATGTTACTTCCATTGCAACACATTAAACTGCTGCTTCCCATGATCAGTTAGCAGTAGGGCATATCAAGGGAAATGCCTCTGTTTGCAACAAGATGAGGTACAATTTGGAATCCCTGATGTTCCTCTAAATTTAGCTTTTCTAGTATCCAAACTGCAGCGTTAATTGCAAGTACTATGGGTCTTTCAGGTGTTAAATTTCGGATATTTAAGTTAAGACTAAAAAAATAAGTCATCAGCTTGGCCAGTATCACACACAGCTTCACTTAACCAACTGGAATGGACAACAAATTACAGGGCTTTTTTGCTTTTTTATTTTTCAAATCAAAGCATGTTTTCCTATACTTACTATTTTAACTGTTTCCATTTCATAAAACTTCATTTTTATGCTCGCTAGCTATTACTACATCACTTTTTGGTTGAATGTTTATTTTTAAAAAAGAGCATAGTAGAGAAACAAAAAAACTCTTGTTTTGTTTGAAGTTTATCAAATCACATGAAATTACAGGGTAATTGCCAAAAGGATTTCTGTGCTAACACTCTCTATCTGAACATCTAAAAGGTGATGTAACTGGAGTGTGCACGTTCTAGAGGCCAGATCTGGGGACTAACCATGCTTCTTTTTCTCTTTTACCCATCATTATCATCATTTCTGAATGTAAATAAATTGTTTTAAAACAATCACTTACGCTAGCATTTGAGGTTTTGGGGAGCTTTCATACCAGGAAACAGATGAAGCTGAGCTGTAGGATGTGCTGCCTGGCTGCTGCGTAATTGCATCAGTTTTAGTCCTTGACGAACAGATAACATTGCAAGGAGAGTCTCTCAGAGCAGAAGGAAAAGACAGGCAACCAGGAGTACAGACAGGAGGCACAGTTATTCCATCCCTTAGATGCCCACTCTCACACCTTTCAGATCTTAAAGCTCTCTCTTCCGCAAAACCAAGATCCTGGTCTGGGTCAGCACTGGAAGCGCCATCTAAAATGCTATAGTCCGTTTCTTCATAATACCCGTTTTCAATCATTTCTTGATCCTCCTCGTCTTCCTCCTCTTGTTGGGAGGGGCAAATCGTTTGTTTTTCGTATGTTTCCTTTTGAGGGCTAACAGGATCGCTGTTGTCCATTGGCCAAATATCTGAAATATCTGTGCTGCTTCGAGAGCCAAAATAGTTTTCTACGAGCCCTTGCTTTACTATATCAGTACTACTGGCTGGAGAAAGACTATCTGTACCAGTTTCACTTTTCACTATTAACAGTTCTTCAGCTGTCTCTTTTAATTCTAAAGTTTCATTATGTTTTCCTTCATTGGTTTTTTCAACCTCACACTCATTTATGGATGAACAACCTGAAACAACAGATGGCTCACCCATATAAGTAATTTCCACATGCAATTTAGCTGTTTCTCCTGTAGTGTTATGATGCTTTTCAAGGTCCTGAGAGTCCTCAGAAGTTGTGACAATGTTTGCCTGTGGGCTGTAACTTTTCACATCAGTAGATGCATCTTCATCTGAAACAACTAAGTGTAAAAGATCTTTTGTGCCTGACTCTGAGGAATGTATAGACAGAGTTTCATTATCTGAACGTCCTGAAAAGACAAGACACTCCTGCTGCAAATTGGTATTTGATTTTTTACCGTCATCGCATTTTTGTAAGTCAATTGCTCCAAGATCCAATATAGTTTTGCTGTCAGTCAGCTGGCATTCAGGTACAATAGATATCTTTGAATTTTCATCAGGTGACAGCTCATCATCATCTGAAGGCAGAGAATTTATGGATGTCAGGGATGACTGTATTTCACTTACAGCACTGGTACTCTCAGTGCAATGGCTTTCTATGGCATTTTTTATAGCACAGTCCGGTTTTAGTAAAAGCTGAGGAAATAACCTCTCACTACTGTATGCACTTTGCCCCTGAATATTTTCAAAAACCTGATCGGGGTTGGGGTGAGTTGCGAAAGAGCTTGGTTCACTTTCTACACCTGAATCTGAAAATCTAGAAGAGGCATACATCACACTAACATCTGGTAATTTAGTCACATCTCCACTTACAGAAATTTGAGTTTCTTTTGTAGGAAGAGTAGGCTGGTTACTTCTTACTCTTGTCAAGACATCACTCGTATGTCGGAAATTTCTTTCACGGACATCTTCTTTCTCAAATACTTGTTCTTGTTCTCCTGAGTTCAGTTTACTTCTGGATTCTGAAGCCTGAATATTGGGTGTCTGCAAATTCTCTCCTTGCACTCCATCTTGTGGAAACTCAGCCCATGATCCAATGTGAACAGTTACTTTCTCCCCTTCATAGGGATTCTTACTACTTGGTTTCACCTCAATTGTCCTGACGCCTGATGCAGTTGGCTGACCTCCATGACAGCCTTCAAGTGCACCTCCGGGCTGCAGAGCACTATCTGCTTCCGTAATTCCAGGACCTGCCTGGGAGATATTAAGTCTACCAAAAATAGCCACGTTTGTGCAATAAGAATTCACTGGGCTACCCTGACTTGGTTGAATACCTTCAGTCTTGGCAGTCTTTTGCTCAGTTCTAGAGGCCAAACATGTAAGCTCTGTTTGACTTATTTGCCTGGTGCAGGTCTTTGCGTCACAAGGAAATCCACCTAACGTAGGGTCCAGCCCTTCGGCAGCATTATACGAAGGCCTGCCTTCTGGGCTTCTAGAGGCATCTTCCAATGCTGTGCTTTTCAAGCATTTGTAGCCTACTAAAACCACAGAGTCCTTAGAGTTCTGTTTCACGATTTTTTTTGTGTTTTCAGGTTTCATTGTTTTCATAAGCTTAGTAACCTTAACTTTGGATTTATTTGCATCTTCATTTTTCCCTTTCAAAGACTTTGTTAGCAGCTTCTCACTTTCTGAATGCCAAGGGTTGGAGGCACCTGCAGGTCTTATTTTCAATTCTGGGCTAGTAAAAGCAGCTACAAAACCTTCTTCAGCCTCAAATTTATCCAGTTTATTGGACTCTGACCTTGGAAGATTCTGAACTACCAACCAGGGTACATCCAGATCTTTTACCAAAAAAAGTGAGAAAAAAAAGTATTGTTTACATCAAGATTATGCAAGTAACTGAAGCTATAAAACATTAGGAATTACAGAACTTTACAAATCTTCAAAACTCAAACTAGAGAAACAGTTTCTAGAAAACAAATATACTCCATCACAGCCAGGAAGAAACGTAAAGAAACACACTCATTTTTTCCATCATTTTTGCCCATTTCTCCTGAGAAAAAACTGCCGTGAGGTTTGTTTACCTTCAGTAATTGAATCTAAATACCGATCTTCAAAGATTATAGGTAAGGAGTTCATATCTCCATCTAGTTCACTGCATTCAATAGGGAGGGGTGGAAGAGAACTGCAGAAGGAAGTATTTTTGATAGCTGCACACATTTGTAGATGACTTTGAGCGCTGAAAGAAAGAAAGTAGTCCCACATGACAATTTACAACTATTTATATTTACATTAGCAGAAATTAGTAGTAGTTTAACTCACTTTAGAAGTTTTTTTTTTTACTAATTACTTATTTAATAGCTACTCTGTAATTATTATATACTTCTTTAAAAGCTACTCTGCTACTGCATTTGAATTCCACTATCTTAACTTCTTACACGATCTTCATTAAAAAAAATTCAAATGCATATTTAGAGCATTTTCTCTTGAATTTGTTACATAACCATTTCTACAAGACAGTATTTTTACACAGCATAAGCTACAGAATAAATACTGTTAGGTGCTACATACTGTACGCTTCAAAAGACTACTCACTGTAGTTCTTGATAGGCAAGCGCAGCTTGCCTAGGATGCTCAAGACAAAAGAATGCTTCTGCAAATCTGCGCACCTGCAAGATCCAAATAAAGTAAGAGCTTTTTATATTATAACGACTTTTGAAAATTCACCAACACTGCCACACCCCAATGTTATCAACTTGCATGAACTACACAGAGAGTTATTTTTATTTTCTGAAAAAAGAATTTTAACTTATGCCCTGGATGACCGAGGGGAACTACATTAGACTCAACTGCCTGCTGAAAACTCAATTATGAAGAAATGAATCATCCAAACAAAGCTCATCCGGAATGCTAACATGCAAAAATATTAAGAGGAATTCAATGAAAGGAAATGAAATTACTGTTTCTTGGACACTTCTGAATGTGCTTGAGCATTATCTTCAGAAGAAGAAACCCACTTTAGATATTCTCCAGACCCAGAACACCGGAAAGTATGTGTTTCAAACTTGTCGTGAATACTATCTAGTCCACAAGTAAACTCTAAGGCAAAAAGTCTTTTGCTGTAAAGATTTTACCTTCAACTGATAAAGACAATAACAAAACGTAAGCTAATTACAAGTGCTGTATTCAAAACTTAACTGTATGTCCAGGGTTAACAAACTTACACTATTAAAATGGTATCTTATGACACAGGGAGCATATTTTTATCCAATACATAATGATGAAATAGAAGAGAGTGAATGATACAGTAACTTACCACAAGTAAAAAAAATATATAATGATGAAATATATTGAAAATGCAGTATCTAGAAAAATCAAAAGCCAAGGTTTTGCAAGATCGGGTTTCTTACATTTCAAATATTATATAACATTAATTTAACCTGAATGCATTTTTCAGAACTTTTATTTTTTCAAAACATGCAATTGAACGCACTATGGCAATAGGCTTTATCTTGTTTGTTGTAACAAGACATACACAAAAGACCGTGCTGCACAGTGGCTGTAGGCAACTGCTTACGCTTTAACTTGAGCATAAACACCAATTTGTTTCTATAAATTGAAATAAAATTTCTACCCCACTTAGAGAATCGCATGTGCATCTAGTCTACTTAATCAATCATTTATTTACCAACCACTTCTTGGCCCTATACTCCTTTATTTCCTCCATGTAATCTGAGCCTACCTCTTAAATTATCTAACTTCCCCAGGGGAAGCGAGGGTGAGTTTCCACCGTACCCAGCGGGCAGGCACCAGACCCCGGCAGCATCCCAACCTCAACCAGTGCAGCAAAAGTAGAACAATAGCTGCGTGTGTCCTCAGCACAGACACGGCCCAGGATGCTTTTACAGAGAGTACCGGCTGGATGAAGTTTTACGTTTTGTAGCTTTCATCTTTTCTATTTCATTGTTGTTGTTGTTCTTTTTTTTTTTTTTTTAAAGGAAAGAATTTCTGCAAAATTTCTCTAAAAACAAAAAACCATTCTCCAGACTTCACTAAAAGCTTAGTGTCTTTCCATCTCAGCCTCCCAGAAACCAATTTATTGTGTTATATGAACTAACCTCAGTGAGAACATCATCTATGAATAGCCTTGGACAATGTTTTAAAGTAAAAAGAAGTAAAAGAAAACTTTAAATTGGATACTTCCTTGTAAATACAACTTCCAGTCTCAATAGCGACCAAACACATGCACACACAAACAGAAAAAAGATGTACGTGCTTTCCTTCAGAAATTACACTAGAAGTTTGTGCGCACACGAGTTGGACTAGAATCAGAGCATCCCTAAGCACTCCTCTCTGTTTTTCCACCCGGCTTTTTAAACAGACATCTATTTTCTAAATAAGCAATTTAGTCAGAACTAACCCTTAACCTTCCCCCCAGAAAGGGGCAACCCTCCCTCTACAGACATTTACTGTTTTAAAAATAGATTTCTTAAGCAATTCATCATTATGATGACTGGCTGTCATCCTAAATAACTTAAAAAAATAATTAAAAGATCCTAATCAATTGTGTAACAGGAAATAAAATAAGAACAGGACTATTTCCCAATTAGTAGATGCTTCTGTGATCCCAGGCCAAGAACAGAGCATAAATCTGTTTCTCAGCAGGGGTAGGTTTGAATTCAGCTGCTACCAATCACTTCACCACATAAAGTGACTAGAATTATACGGAGAACAGATCTCTACGATTCTGCCACTGACTGTCCAGAAAAGAAAAAGGAAGGAGTTTTTTGTTTGTTTGCTGTTAATGCTATTTGTAACTGTTCAACCAATTCCAGTACTTTCAGCAAAAATCCCATTACCAGCTCCAGAGAGCTCTCAGTACAACAGCAAAGGTACAACGTTAGCTGAAAGCAAGCTTCAGAGCTGCTCCAAATGCCCAGAAAAATCAAAAATTGAGGGGGGAAAAAGCAGTATATATATTCTCCTTATATTATGGGACTCAAACTGAAAGGAACAGCATGCTCAGACCTACCAGAAGATGTCACTATGGAACAAATATCTTGTGTGAGCTAATTTAGCGTGCTAACTTTTTGTAATATTAAAACAACATATCTCAAACAGTTTTTTCAATAATACTTACTTGAAAACTTTATTATTAGGTGGATATTGCAGATGACAGATGCTCTAGTAGGCCTAAAATTTTCCCCATTTTTTATGTAGCAATTAAAATCTGGTATAGTGTTTTAGAGAGAAGATGTATTCAAAGTGACTGCAAGCTTTAAAATACACTGTTTCACTATAACCTTATTTTCTCACAACATTCCAGCAGAAATAGCTGTTTTATAGCCATCTATAATCAACGCACAGGGAGTGAAAGTCATTTGACCAAATGCCGATGGCAGGCACTTCCAGAGAGCTATTTTACTATAAACATTTAAACCTATCAGATTAATGTGTTCTAAAAGTGTCCGTTTCTCTTAGATTAATACAAGACTTTCCCAGGGAGAATTTCCTGTAGAAAGCATACTCTGTAAATATTGTAACATGAAATGGTAAAATTAAGAGACATTTAGCATCCAGCAGCGAATACAACGGAGTATCTATCTTCAGGTAGATAATGTAGTTTAAAGTAACTGCAAAGTTCACTAAAAAATTGCTAGTGGACACTTCTTTTCCAAAAAGAATGTAAGATCAAGTCTTTCAGTTACAGCAAAGGTCACCTTTGAGCCCAGAGGTATGTATTTAGAAATTCAAGAGAGTCGGTGTGCTTCAGTAGCAAGCCACATTGAGGACTACGTAAGATTCTTCAACCCCACACCACACCATCATACCGTGAGTGTGGATTCATACCTCCAGAAAAGAATATCCCTTCAGCTTTAAGGAAGGAATTTGTTCTTTTTTTTTTTTTTTTTAGTGACAGATAATAAATTAAGCAGGCATAAAAGTAATTGGAAGAGGAAAAAAATGCAAGCATGAAACCAAATGATACTTTTTTTTTTTTTTTTTTTAAAGGGAAGGAAGAAGAAAGGGACCCTCTATTTTGTGAAATCTAGAAGACATCACAGAAATACTGTTGATACGCACAATATCTCAACTCACTCGGTATAATTAACTACTTTGATTTATAGTCCTTAAAATAATTGCAGTGAAATTCAATTTTTAAGGTATTTGAGTGCTGGAGAGATTGAATTAAACCAGAGCTCTTAAAAAGAACCACATTAAAGAAACTTTGTACACATCATTACCCAATATATTTTGTATTTTAACATCAGGATCAGCAAAAATAAAAATATTAAGGCTTATTCTTGTTTATTAATTACATATTTGTACAAACACTAACATAGCAACAGGTGAATGCAAGTGCAGGTTAACTAAAACAGTATTCTCCTTTTATAACTTCTACTAGAATTAACTTGAAGGATTCCTAAATTCATATGAAAAGCATGTAATGATAAGTAAGATCAGATGGACAGTAAAATGATCAGACTTTCTTACTGTTAACATGTCCAATCTAACAAATAAATCTTGCATTTTTTTCTGAAAGATTTCATTTGTCCTCCAGATTAAGCCATGAACCCCTCAACAGCAAAGTTGTTTATCAACTTTATATAATATAAGGCTATATATGTCTCCAGAAACTAAAGAGAAAGGTCTCTGATGCGAGCGGCAGAAATGCAGGTTAGACCAATCATATCTTTGAGAACTAACACCTTAAAAGAGACTTTAGATTGTGACAATTACAATTTTGAAAGCACTGATGGCATGTATTCTCATTAATTAGACCCATTAACAAAATGTTTTACAAGAAATGCTTTCAGACAACCTCTTTAAGATGACCTTTTCTATAACACGTTGCGATAAACGCACAGATTATGATCTCGGACAGTAAAGATGCCAGGCCCGCTGAAATCCAGAGTTGGGCATTTCAGGTTTTTTTTTTTTTTCCTGTTTTAATGAATCCGTCTCCCTGAAAACTTTAAAATGCCAGCTTTGTTCAAATCCTTGATAAAAAAAAAAAAAGAGGGGAAGGAAAAAAGTATTTATTAGGGGATGAGGGCACAGCTTTAGCTAATACTTGAAAACAGTTCACTCTGAGAGTCAACATTGCTATGAATTTGCCTGTAGAAAACCCTCAGCAACAGTGCACATGTGCATATAAACAAACAGATCAACTGTGTATGTGGGTGGGTGGGTATGTAGTTACTCGCCACACACACACACACATATGTATATATATACACAAGATGTCTGCTCACACGTCAGATCATTTCTGATTTTAAAATCCTACTTAGGAGGCCCTCCAGAGCTTATGAATGCTGTAAATTCTTAACTCAGAAGAAAAACACATTTCATTTCACGATGCCTACATGTGGCAGGGAAGTAAAATGGGCAGGCACTAGGCATGGCTCCTGAATAAAAACATATCATTCTACACAAACACCTCCTGTGCCACAGCCTACACTTGGCCTTCTCAACTGCATTTCTTATTCAAAAGTTCAAAGAATTAGTTGGTTTGTATTTTATGTATTATATTCCAAGAATAAGCTCTAACAACACGATACTTGAGCTAACAAACGCAACCCAATGGCTCCATTTATGATTCAAACTAACTTCCACAAACAAAGTCAAAAAAGTTGGAATTGGGTCTGTCATTTTGATACACATTTCCATAAGAACGTGACATGCCCTTTATAATGCCAAAGTCAATACTCACTCTTAACGTGTGATGCTCCTGCGCTAGCATTGCTGTGACTTCCTCTTGTAAGGTAATGACCTCCAGAAACTGTCCCCAGAGAGCCATTAGAAGTGAGCAAAGCTGAGCAAGATTCATATTTATGAGTTCTGCCAGTTCATCAGGATTTTCCATTTTCTGGAATTTGGAAAAAAATATTTGCACAATTACTGGCCATAATGTACAGACACAATAAAAAAAAAAACACTTTCATCTCAGTAAGAATTTTAATTTTAATTTAAAAAAAATCACTTCCAAATTAGACTGTTTTGTCTAAATACCAGAACTGGATTATTTACGTAACTACATTAACAGAATACTATGTGTTGCTTTAAATATTATCCAGTTGTCTTTTAGAATTAGGACTTACTATCTTAAATTAAAACAACAATTCAATTTATAGCAACCATAAGTAGGAGTTGCAACCATTATATTTTCCAAAATTCAAAACCATAGTGTGACTGAAAAGAATAGGAATCAGGAATTAGAAAGCAGACAATCAATACAAAACATATTAGTCCCAATCTGATGCAATCTTAAAAGCACTAAGCACTTAAAAGCACTAACTGGGATACAGTTCCATGTAAGTTGTGGACTGGTAGGCTTACATTCCCTGCCATTTTAGAAAAAATGTGATTTTTCAGAAAGCAATTACAGGCACATAAAGCATTGAGACAAAGGGTTTTAAAGTAAGGACAGCAAAGACACAACTTCAGCCATACGGAAGAGGAAGTAGCAAAAAAGATTACAAACGCTGAGATACCAGCTTAGTAGGAGAGAGTGGGAATTAGAGGAGGAACTTTTGAGGAGAACTGCATAAAAGAACGGAGGGAGAAAAAGGAAAAAAGTTAAACGTACCTTAGCAAGCTAAGGGAGGAACTAAGGAAAGAACTGATCATAGCTACTGAAATAATTCACAGAGGTTATGTAAATATAAAAAGCTTGTAACACGTGAAGTGACATTATTAGTTGTCCACAGAGCGCTAACTGTCCCGGCTTTGTCTCCAGTTCTACAAATGATACCCTTGTTAAGGCAGTATTACGTTTCCTTGTAATTATACTGTTGCAACTGAAATGAAAGGTAAGCCTACTACTTTGCAAAAGCTGGGCAGATGGCTCGCTCAGGAGCAAAGTGTGGACCGTCGTCTCCCAAAAAATTTTGAAACTTTAACCTTTGCTGTGACAAGGCAATCGGCTATTCAGCTGAGGCTAGTTCTCACGGTGCACAGTAAGGAGAGAGTTAGGGAGAAAAAATTAAGTAAACTGAAGTAGGCAGTATTTCCTTGAGACTGCAGAGAAAAGAGGAGAAGGAGACAGCAGGAGGACAAGTCCCTCCCAAACAGGGGATGACACACTTGGGGAAACTGCTCACGTACAACTCTCTACTACTGCTTCATTTTACAAAGTTGTCGTAGGATAGCATCAAAAAGGAGGAATTCAAATTATGCACGCAGAAAATCCAAAACATGGATTTTAACACAGTGCTACTACCGACATGACAAGACACCGAGTGAAGAGTTAAGTTTTCAAGTTGAGCAATTTCTCTTTGAATGAGGAACAGCTGAAAGAAACGTTAGCAAAAAGAATATATAGGAAGCTATTACTGAAACCAGCAGTTTATTCTCGAGTAACATATGAAATCAACATACTCTACTTCTATAGTTATTTCTCTTAGGCAAGAAATGAAGAAAATAGTACCTTCACTTCTTCACACAGCTCTGTAAGACGAACTTCTACATCTATGTTCTCTGGAAAGACGAGATGCATACACATGAAAAATGTATTTGCCACGTTGCAGAGTAAAAATAGTTATCTCACACAACAATTTAAACACACATTAAAAAGAAGAGAGACCATCAAATAAAACTGGATGCCACGTTAAGTACAACGATCAACCTGAAATCATGTACATTTTAAACTCCAGTTAAAATTATTTCTTATTAATACCTGAGGTGGAGGACAGAACATGATTAAATAAAACCTGACTTTAGTTATCTGATTTGCGAGCTAAGCTACCTACATGCATAAAAATATAATTGCTTAATTTTCTGAGGAATTACATTTTGGTTAAACAATATTCTTTACGTAATGTGGAGATATTGAAAGGATGATTAAGAATAATTCAGCCTGCCATGGTATGGCAGCTTAAATTGGATCACAACCTGGAATGACTTATTTATACAAAAATGGATTTCTTCCTTCGCATAGGATGTATCTCCTTGTTAACCATTCCAATTCTACTCAAGTGACTCTGATCAATTAAAAAATAATTTAAGACTGTGATTTGATTTCCTTCTTTACGTGAGGTACCAGCAACAAGATAGCAACTTATAACTCCTAAAACTGTTCGTGACAAATATTTATATTTAAATTCATTTTCCAAACACAGTATTAAGGAAAAATCCCACAACATTTCTTGAAAACATACACACCAACAAAACATACCTCAAATCCCACAATTAAAAAAATTAGGATATGGATAGTGAATATTTACTCAGTTTACCTCTGACTGATACCACCTAGATCTGGTGGATATGTATCGATCTTCAAATAATTGCATCCATTATACTTAGTGCCATTATATTTAATACTAAACAAATTAACTCACATAAAGTTCTGAGAAACATGCAACTTGTAGAAACGCATGAAGTTCTCAGAAACAAGATCAGAAATGTTTCTGAAAGATACTGCACACACCTGTTAGCACCTGAAGATAATCATTCTGAAAATATATGAAAACTGTTTAAGAGATGATACTTTCGTTGTGTTTGTAGCCACACAAATCTTGTCATTAGTGAAAAAATTAAATGACTTATTTACCAGACCCAATACTGACTATTTACCTTCATTGTCACCTTGCAGTTGGTAATAGGTTTTGAACAACAGTTAAAACTCTGAGGTCTAAAATCATTATGGAACGCCCCAAACTACAATGTTCTCAATAAAAATGACAGAATACAGACAATAAAAGGCAAAAGGTGATAGCAAATTAAATATTAACATTCTATAGCAGTAACGTTCATCCAGCAAACGTGATGCAATTTCACTGGCTCTGTTTTTCTTTTTTAAACAAAACCAAAATGCAGATATAGATGATGAGGCTCGTGACCCTATGAGTCTGCGCTGCCATTTTATTCTTTCCCATCATAAACTGCCTCGTGCTTAAACAGCACCGTCTTTTGGCCAACATCAAAGTAACAGCGACACTCTCCAAAGGGAGACGTGTCCATTTGGACTTGGCCAGCTGCAGCTTAAGCCTCGAGAACGTCTTGTGCAGCGTTTGGGAGCAGCAAGCTGTGCAGCAAGCTGAGGCAACCTGAAAGATTTCTCAGGGGAAAAAAATACGAGTCTTTTATTATTTAGAAAGTTGAGTCCAGAAGGAACAAGCTGAAACTACCTTTTAAAACTGGCTATTTAAATGGTGACAACTGACTAAACTCTTCAGTCATTTCTGTTTAGTAAAATAGGACAACAAAAATAAAACCACACTAAACCAAGAAAACAGTAATAATTTCTCATTTCACTGTCTATATTCAGCATAGACATAAGTAGCTCAACTCCATACACTTCAGAGTTCAACATACTTTCACTAAGGCTGAATATAGAGGATTTTTTTTCTCCTGTTTACATATACAAATATTTTATATTATTAATAAAGATCTGAGGGGTTATATCACCTGCTTTGAAAACATACCTAGGTAGGCGTCTCTCTGGGTTCGTGGATATTTTCTTCTGAGAAGGCGTTCATAAAGGACCTGCATGCTGGCCTTGGCTAGTTACAGGGATTGCACACACATGACTAGTTACTAACCTCCTTTTTTCATCTGAGATTTATTATTTGCCTTAAAGTTAGTTAAAAAAAAGCTTATTGCTAGCCTAGCAATTAGTGCACTTAGATCAGTACATTAAAGCATATCATTTTAGTGTAGTTTCTAGATTAGATATTACCCATGATGTACATTATCCTTACTTTCTTTCCTGTTTATTTCCTGAAACCAATAATACTTAACGCTCAATTAAGGTTACTGAAGTAGTTCAACAGCTCTTTGCACATGCTTCTGCAAAATCACTGTCTTCTTAAAAGTACATGATAGTTGAAAATGAGTTGAAATGCACATCACAAAATTCAGCAAACAGAAGAAAAACTTAAAGAGAGAATTTATTTAAAACACAAAAAGGTGACGATTCTGAGATTTAAACAGGACTTGAGATTCTCTTCCCCAAAGTCCATTCAAATTTCATGTACAAAATTTCCACAGTGAAATAATTCATTTATTTTAAAAATTAAAGATAAATACAAAGGACAACAGCTGTGTACTTTGTGAAGTTTAGAGTGCTTCAACTTCTTTGCAGACATTACAGAAACATGGCTTTTTTCTTTTTTTTAATTGCTGACGGATTTTAAAGAAAGTATTGTTAGTGATTAGCATTAGTTATTTGTCATGAGCAAAAGGTGAGTAATAATACTGTAATTAATATTTATATTATTATTCCTTTTTGTTATATCAATTGTCCGAAACCACATATATAGAATACAACTGAAATAAATGAAAAAAGATTCACAAATTAGAAAATAAAGTAATTACAGCAGAAATTGAAAAGATTTTGGAAAAAAAACAGGAAACAAACCATCAGCAAAATATATACAGTGTACGTTAAATGTAATTACAAACTTTCACATCTCTCAATATATTTATTTTGAGCATTTCTGTTCAAACTTGCATTTCCTTAAGGTAAGCTAAAATACTCACAGGAATCATTAAAGGTCTGACTCAAGTTCCACTGAAACTTATGAAAATCTTTTTGCTGACGTATGAGGTTTGAAGGGTACCACCCAGCTATGAAATTCAATTAACTGCTTCTTTCACAGAATCACAGAATGGTTTAGGTTGGAAGGGACCTCTGGAGAGCATCTAGTCCAACCTCCCTGCTCCAGCAGGGTCATCTAGAGCACATTGCCCAGGATCACATCCAGACGGGTTTTGAATATCTCCAGCGAAGGAGACTCCACCACCTCTCTGGGCAACCTGTTCCAATGCTCTGTCACCCTCACAGTGAAGAAGTTTTTTCTCAGGTTCAGATTTCTATTATATATATTTTGTGAGAATGTTTTACAGCACGTAAGGTCCTATCGGAAACATTTAAATATCAAGATTTAGTCTAAACCTACCCCTTACAATGTCAATAAAACCAACAGATTACTTGGCAAAAAGCGCATTTCGTCATTAAAAGGGAAACTAACAGTTGGGACATCCATAAAATAGGGCGTCCCCTCCTCTCCAAAATGAGATTAAAATAACTGAAAAAAAATTCTTTGCATTGTAACTGTAGCAGTGTTTTTGCTTCTATAAAGAAAAAGCCTCAGTTTCTGCATTACTGGAATATGTAGTTTATGCATAGATTTTTAGCATCCTTCCTCCAAAAATCCCACTCTGAAAATGGTTTTGCATTTTTGAATATATATATGAAACACTGTTTGTTTGAATCAGTAACTGGATGCAATAGCACACTTTGAAATTAATTTTTATGACTCCATTTCTTGTCTTATGAATTCCTAATACTTAGTTTTGATAGTGTTAAAATTATGCAATCATATAATCAATACCTGCTGTCCACAGGCAATGTAAATTGCAGAAGACCTGTCCGTGTTTTGGATTTAAATAAACTTTACATTACTCAAAAGGAATATGTTTACTGGAAAAAAAAAAAGACTAATCAGTCCTTTGCAATGCCAACGCATTCTCATTTTTATTTATACCACTCTCCCAGTCCTACAAGTTGAGAGTAGGCTCACTAATATACCAGCCCTCTACAGAAATGCATTTCATGCAGTATTTTCAGTTATTTTTATCAAATGTGGTTTTCATTCAAGTTACTGGGTATTTTCCCTGCCATAAAAGCTCTAACTTAAATTTCTTTCTATGAATCTGTTCTGTATGAGTTTAATTTTAACTTTATTAAAGAAATAGCTGCTCTGAAAACATATTTTAACTAAGTTTTATAAAAACAATCGCTGCATATTCAGATTGCTTTTCCTAATTCTCAAGTAATTAATCCATTGGTCATTTTAAAAGGTTGCGCTACCAACTGAGTCAGCAGCAATTTCTTCTTGTAGGTCTTGTTTTCAGATAAGTTTCCAATGCAATATCCTTCTCAAATCAAAGGTTACCAAATTTCAATTTTTAAATGACTATACAACGTTTCCTTATAACATACAACCAGCTACAGCATGCTTTTTTAGATTGCGAGTTTCTCCAACTTTCTCACTGCTCAAAACAATGATTTGAAAAACAGGCCAAATCTTAAAACCAAGATCTACAATAAAAAATTATTTGCATAAATTCAGACTGTTATCTCATGATCTCGTTAGTGGGGTGACAGTACTTTATTTTTTCCCCATGAGTTATTAAGTTCCAGTTAGGGTTGAGCAAAAAAATTGTAGGTATACAAGAGGTACAAAATTAATGCAGGTTTAACCTTGAAGAGGGGACATTTTAAATAAACACTGAGAGGAAAGTGATGTATTTTATTATATTCAACATACCCAGTTCAATTCGGTGAGAAGAGGGGAGCTCCCTTGCTATCATAACGAAATAGCTATGTAACCCTTTGAAAGCAAGCAGCAAACTGGCACAAAGCGTATAGTGGAAATTATAGGCATGATTGAGGAAAGACTCTGAAACCACAAAATTGCAACCCTAAAAAAAGAAAAAAAATGCACATATTAATTTCATACCGTAAGTGAAGCATTAACAGAATAACTAAAATGGATTTTTCAATAGACTGCAATATCTTAAAAAAAGAAGGTCAAATATTTTAAGCTTTCCAACTACATGACCCTGAAACATAACAGCCTTTTGGAACAATTTTTCTCTTTTCCCGTATCTCGTACCTCCAAAGTTCAGTCTTTATCAGACAGTATTTCTGTGAAAAGGTAAAAATCCACGCTGCCCAGCAAAACATAACCAAACGTTTAAGTGATATATGCTTACATCTGCTGATAACTGTTTTGTGTAGTTACTGCCAAAGACTACACTTTCAAGGGAAGGAATCACCGAGTCCCTGTTTTGTGCTGGCGCGTTCCTGTTTAACCACGTATTCTTCACGGGGCGAGGAAAGCTGTAAAAACAAACTGAATATAAAAAGATGCCTACATCTTTATATACACAAACAAACTGAATAATTTTAATACACTGTGTGCCACAAATCTGTCTCAGTTACAGAAATTCTCCGGTTTTCATGAAAAGTAGCAAAAACAAAGACTCTCAGTAATAATATACTGTAAGTTCCCAGGCTGGTAGGGTCCCCTTCTAAAGCAGTACTTATAAAGTAGTTTTCCTCAAAGAGCACCTCCAGCTAGTTGTTGGAGCAATTTAAGAAGCTACTACCCTCGACTGTTTTGTTGCCGTCGCTCACCACAAAGGTCAGCGGACTGCGCCAGGAGACCGGGCAAGCTCTCCCTCCTTCTTTTTAACGCAGGACTCCAACAACTTAAACAGTATTCCTGAAAGTTTAAGCCAAACGGATCAATTTTGAATTATAACAGGTAAGGAGCACTCGTTTTCTGCCAACTTTGCTGCGGGAACGTTAGCTCCTACAGGTGAATCAGCAGCAAACTCCTGGAGAGTTGTCACACAAGCCGTCACTGCTGTTTTCTTAACGAACGCCTGATCTCTGCTAGTCGAGGAGAAAGCCCATCCAAAACCCCAGCGCCTCCCCAAATTGTTCAAAAAAAAAAAAAGGACAACTTGGATCCCTCACATTCCGTCCTGACTGAAAATTAGTAACAAAACCTGTTTTTCACGGTCTCTCAATAAAACGAAACTTGACCCCGCATCTAAAGGACAAATGCAGGTGAAACTCTTGAATTTCACTGCAGTATGTTTGACAACTGACATCATATATACGTGCTGCTGCTGTAAGTGTGCAATTTTATCAGATGAAGCCTTCAAGAGCAATACTACCTTATTCTCATCTCCTCACGGCTTACTCCTCACCCAAATAATGCTGTGCCATCCCTTCAGACCTGCCAGGTCAGTTATCATTATATAGCCATGCCTGCGACACATCACCGAAATAATCCAACTTGGAGGGGGGTTACTAAATCAATACGTAAATAAATAAATAAAAGCCGGTTGATTTCTCCAAACTGGCACAGTGCTGCTGCACAAAACAGCTGCCTAACACGCGCGCTGACACAGCGTGCCGTGACGGGAAGACAGACAAGCAGTGGGAACATCTTAAGCTAAAGGCTTGGCCATAAAGGCCACAGCCTGAGCGTGAATAGGAAGCAACGCAGGGGGAGAAAATAGCACGGCGTATTTGGAGACCCTGAAAGATGGCAAAGCCACATACACTAAAGAAAAAGCCATGCAAGGAGCACGTTTCATACTTCTAGCTGTATGGCCCTTTTCATGTTCGCTTTTGAGTGAGAGAAATGGGGAAGACAGATACTGTAAAGGAAGACAGAAGTGAATTGTTTTCTGCTCATACATGGAAAAAAAGGGGAAAAAAAAAAAGACGCTTCAGCAAAAACTAGGAAAAAGCCTTTTTAAAGACAAAATGAAATCCCTCTGCTTCATTTACTTTAGAGAACATAAACACATCATTTGCAGATATTATTGCTGCTACAGTAGTAATTGAAACCTGAGAAATAAAGACAGCTTACAGCTGTTTTTAACAGCACCTATTACTGCCGCTAACCAGAGGCAGCAGCTGATCTTCCTGGTTAAGGATACGTATAAATACCTTCCTTCTCACTTCTACAGTTTTGGGTATTATCTCTCTTCTGCACCATCTACTCCTCCTTCTAACAAAAACAAACTCAAAATTTGTTCAAAAAGGTGGCTTTTAAAACAAGAAGTCTCTCCTCCCTCTGACCCCTGAATTCCAGAGTTGCCGTACAGCAAATCACATTGTTCATAGACTTAACTCCTTCCCAAGTATTCTATTTTCATCGCATTTACAATTGGGCACCCAAATACTTCATTTGCATTTTATTAACAGGAGATTACCTTATCAACGGCTGATGCAGAGCAACCAAAGAAGCATGGACTATAACAGATATGACAGAGAGGTGGAAGTAATCAAACATAACATTGACATAATGATGAAGGCCCCGATGCAAGTTAAAGTGCAACTTCAAAGTTCGGCTACTGATTGGCTGTAGTGTGCTCAGGTCATCGGGTCTAAAATAAGTTAAAAAAACAAAAAATCACATACAATTAGAGTAACCATTTTTTAAAGTAGGTAGGCAATGAAATTAGAAGTGCAATATATAAGCAGGTTATTAGTAATCGATGCGCCTATCAATTCAGCATTGGTGTATACTTTGGAATGGTAATTTAGAAACAGATAACAAATTGTTGCTTTCATAAAATCTTTTATATTTAAACTTACGAATAGTCTGTATCTGTGAAGTGTAGATCTAACGTTAGCAGAAAATTCATTTCATTAAGAGATTCTTCAATCTAAAAAGGAATTGTAGAATCATGAACTCTTTTCAGGCCCCGTATTTATAGGGATCCAAACTATAAATAACAAAGATTTGAGTATCTGGATATAGTAAGCTGAATGGCAGATTACCTTCCTCTCATCTAACAGCATTTTTATTTTGAAAATCATCACATCATTGACAGAAACTTCCTCATTTTTGTAAAGAATTTGAAATGTTTTACTGCAAACCATATTGTCATGGACTGAAGCAGGAAAGGCAAGATCTGCACCTGAAAAGAGAGACACAAGCGTTAATATAAGTGGTCTAGAGTCTGGAAACTCTGGAGCAGCTGACAAGTGAAACTCCCACTCCTGTTAGTTTCAGGTCCACTACTAGAACTTAAAACCAGCACAATCAGCAGTTTTCATTTTAGTCAGCAGCTACTGGAGTTTAGAGGAAGGTTTTTGTTTCTAAGAAATACTGTATCGATATTTTTGCACGTAATTTACTTTTAACACAATTTCTAGACTGAAGATTTTTTGCTTCGTTCCAAGATGGAAAAAGTCAGTCCAGGCACCAAAAATTCTAATAAAAAGCCTGAAATTTGTCTTGTTTCATTCAACATTACTGTTGCTTCCCAACTTTTAAGCATGTTGAGAACGGGGAATTACTTACAGATGAGGCAGTAAGGTTAAATGACATGCACATGGAAATGAATTAATCAAGCATACAGGTGGTTCTTTCCTTCCTTCCATAGTTTTGCATACTACTCTGGTGAGACCAGTTCCAAATACGCCATCTCAACCTTACATTTCTTGTTCAATATGGCAGTTCTGCTTTCAGTCCAGAAGCTGCTGATCAAAAAGAGTTCACAAAAGTGTGGCAAAGGATTCCCCAACCATTTGTCAAGAGAGGTCAAAAAACTTCTAGTAGGAATGAGAAAGGGAATGGTTTAAAGAAAAAAAAATGACTGAGGAAATATTTAGCATAATAGGAAAGGGTTTACCATATCAGAAAAATCACAGCAGGCACTAGCCTGTGAAACAACAAGTTAAAGACAGTGGAACTTGGAAAAACAAAAGATTAGAGCTGAAATACTGACCACTGCTTACCACTCTTCAACAAGCAGACCCAATAGCATTGACCTCTTTCAGTACCCTAACTCTTAGATATTTTGAAATATATTTTTGAAAATTCTTTTTATTTTTCTTAATAGATTACTTCAAAGGAATCCACAGAAGAAAAAAAAATCTACAGAGTCTGTGCTTCACAGATTTGGGGTCTACAGGCCACTGATAGAAAATCACTGCTAGAGTCCATGCAGGGCAGACATTCCCACACTATAACCTTCCTAACATTTGAGTCTAACCTCCCTTCAGAAACGAGAAACAAGTGTAAGCACTGGTTCACTGAAGTGGTTTCATACACATCCTGCAGTTACGTCTCCTGGACAAGCTAGATATAAAGGCTGAACCAATAAAGGTAATCCCCCCACATAACGCCACCTTCAGCTTTTATCAATCCATCTGGCATGATAAAGGTGAAGGGCAGAGAGGGTATGGTTTCCTGGTACACGTAATCCGATATAACTGTTTGCCGCGGGTGAAAGGTATAGCCTCTCGTCTGACACAAAAGTAATGGAAACATATGGCCGCTGTCCCACTGCCTATGCACTACCCAGCTCTTTTGGTACCAGCTCCCATCCCACCGACTTCAGTGCAAGGAGAAACCTCGCCCGCAGGAGAACAGCCACAGAGGAAAACCCAAAGCCAGCAACAGCAGACCTGCACCCACGTGGGGGTCGAGTGCACCCAACCACAAAACCAGCAAAGCAGAACAACCCCAACTACGGACTGACTAGACTACTTCTGGGCTTGTATCCACACAACAAAGCGATCTCGACAAGCTGTAGGTCTGTAAGAAAGAACAGAAAACCCAGGAACCAGGGGAGCGGTAAAAAAATATCGGGGAATCTATTCATTCTTGCAGGGTAGAAAGGGACATTTCATTCCTAATAGGATTAATTTTTTTTTTTTTAAATAGCCTCTAGTTTCTGATAGAAGGTGGCATTCAGAACAGCT